ATGGCACATTAGCACCGAACCAAATGCCTTAAAATGTCAGTTCCCATTTTGGAAGACGGCTACATTTGTTTTAATGGTTAACAGTGGTCCAATTGTGTGGGTAGCACTCAGAACCAGGAGCTAGATCTCAATAAATTAAAATAATGGACTATTCCACTTCATGTTTCAAGCAGAGCATAGGGATGTGAATGAAGCTTGTGTCTTTCAAAGTTGCTTACAAAATACCACGTCATTTGCTATCTCGTGCCCTCGTTGAGGTGGGTGCACATGGACTGAGATTCCATGAGTGGTCTCAGGATTATGATGCTCTGGGCCCAGTGGCGGAGAGCAGGCGGGGGCGGGGCTGGCGTGCGTCCCGGGGGCGTGGAGCCCAGCGCAGTGGGGGGGTCCACCCACAATGGAACCCCACCGGGATCGCGCTGCTGGGGGCAGTGTGTTCCCCCCGCACTCCTCTTCCTCCACCAGTGTCTGGGCTGTATTATGAAATAATAATTTTGGGGGGAAATAGTAATAAATCCTATGTTAGCTTCAGTTATGCAAGTAATCTGCTTTACACATACACAAACATTTTTGCAGTAAAATTCCGTAAACCAAAATGTGTTATCACTGACATGGCTGGAACTCATGTTGCAAATTTTGGCATTGCACAGTGTGCTGCCAAATTTTAGACCCTAAAGTCCGCCGCTGAGAAGGCTTAGGCCCCAGGTCCAGTCCTTGGCTTCTTCAAGCAGAGCTGGGCGATTCATCTTGCCTGAAATCCTGGAGAGCCACTTCTGGTCAGTGCAGACAATATTGAGCTAGATGGAACAAAGTTACGACTCCATATACGGCAGCTTCTGATGACTGTGTGTCCTGCCCATTGATTTCAGTAGGTGTACTCTTAGTAAGTTGCAAGAGTCTTGGATGGATGCACCCATCCTTCCCAGAGATACTGAAATGGAACCAGGATTAATTTGCTCTCTTTATTCAGAGGGTGCAGCAAGGATCTTTCTTGTAATAATCTGATAAACCAGATTCTTGTGGCACCTGCGAAAGACCCGGGCAGATACACTATCTGTAAATGGAATGATATGGTGTGGTACTTGGCTTTGACTAACAAGACTTACATAAATATACTTTCAGCACTGATTCGTTTGTATTTATTTCCTTTATTAACACTTGCTTGAAGAAACTTGGACCTTCTGTAACTCAGACATATTTTTGGCTTGGTTATTTAATTTAAGATGTTTCTGTGGAGAGGGGGAGTGGCCTGGGGGAGAGGGAGAGAGTTTTGAGGGCTAGATACTGAGGACTTGGGAGCTGCTATCTTTTATGCTGCAGAGGAGTGAATCTCAGCCCCGTGACATCTCCCATTGTGGCTGGGAAAACAAACCCCTCTTCTGCATCAGTCATAAAAACTTTGTAGCAGGGGTGAGAAGTTGGGGCCTGGCCCAGTCTGTGCAACTGAGGCTGTTTGGATTCCTCTCCCTCCTGTTGTGTAAAAGATCCCTTAATAAGGCTCAGTCTGTTTTCCAGACAGGTGCCTCGTACCAGGGGAGAAGCAGGTAAATAAGCCAAGCTAATTGCTAAATAGCTACTTGCCGGCTCTGACAGGAGAGCAACAGCAGGAGCAGCTGAGGTTAAGAACTTACAGGAAGGGGAGGGAAGCCCTCCGATTCCGGCAAACTTAACCTAGGCAGACATCTGTAGGTCTTCCCTCCCCATCCATTCACTCGCACACATTTAAATCGTCTCTTCTCCCACACTGGGGCAATGCTCAGGGTGCCCAATTGTGAACGTAAACACACAAAAGCAAACACGATGGTGCTGAACACGTAGCTCCCAAAAGCACAAGACTGCTGCTTTTAGGCCCCATATGCTCTACACATTTAAAGCAGTATCACACCACTTTAAACAGTCATGGTTTCTCCCAAAGAATCCTGGAACTGCAGATTGACAGAATCCAACAACATCTGCAGGACCACAGGCCAGTCACCACAGCTTTAAAGGGTATAACCTGCGTTGTGAAGCAATGGTAGACAAAGCAAATTGGTAGTCGACGCAAATGTTTCAAAGCAGGTGCTGGATGGGAAAATCCACTTGAGCTGCTGAGATAATATCTAGCTCAGCCCTTAATCATTCTTTATATGCCTCTGAAATAATCCCCCCCCCCAAAAGGATGACATTTCTGTTTTGACTAAAACATCTATACCCTTTTCTTACATGGTTTTAGACACACTTTTGCCACCACCACTATTTGAGAGGAGGTGGTACAACTGTCTGAAAGGAAAATGGGCAAACCAATTTAGGTTTGGAGTAGCTATTACCAAGTTAAAGAGGGGGACATACATGGTGGAAACAAAAATATTCCTAGTTTATATGGCCATGCATTTGAATTTTTTTGTGGTTACAAATGCCGCAAATTTCTAACAAGGTGTTTAATGTTGCTTTCTAATTAATGAGAGGATTCAGGGGTATTATTGGGGGGGGCAGGATTCTGCTCCCTTAAAGGCCAATTAGACCTGTTTTCTTTATAAAGTACAAAACCTGTTTTTACAGGTGAAAGAAAAATGTATGCCCCCACCTACCCCAGCTTAGATTTTTTGTATTTGAGTATATCTGATATTCCTGCATTTGAGCATTCATATTTACGTCAGTGTTTCCTTTCCAAGCTTTGAGGGAACAGCAGGCAAATTGGCCGTGAAAATGTGACTGGGATGAATCACTGAATGGATAAATCCCCCAAATATTTGCTTCAGCTGGCTAAAGATTTGAGGTTAACCACTGCCAATGGTTTTAGTAAGGCAGCTGCCCCCCTAGTCCCCTTCCATATCTCATTTGCTTCCAAAAAATATTAAGGCAATTAAACCAAGAGGTCTTTTATGTGTGGTTCTTTAATAACAAAACAAAAGGCTGCCTACTTTATGCTCATGATGACCTGGGAAGACAATGATAAGTTGTTCTTTCAAATGTGTTCAACTGATGTCTTCAAGTTCAATCTTGTGGAAACCATAATGAACGAGTCTTGCAAGGTGTGATTACCTAAACACAAGAGCTGTGGTAGTTGTACACATAGATGTCATGCATGAGAAGATAGCACTCAACGACAGCTTCTGATACAGTTCCCCTTCCCTTAAGTGGTTCCCTCCAGACATATCTGAACTATGGTGAGATCACTTGAGAGCCCACAGTGATGGCAGACATGAGGCCCCTCTGGGAGAGAGCCTTCTGTACCCCTGGTGGAGTTTTTGGATGTTAACAATTGAGTCTTGGAAGCAAACCACTGGTTCGCCTTTTGGAGCAGGGTGATGTTCTGTACTTGATTATTCCATTTTTGAAGTGGTATCTTACCTCCTGTTTAGTCTCAGTTACCTAATTATGTTGGCTTATTTGTATTGCTATATATATTGTTTAGTTTGAGCTGTTAAATTAGGTTAGCTTATTTGTATTGGGAGGGATTCCACACTGCTTTCTTCCAATTGTTTCATCCGTGCAAGCATTTCCATTTGCCTGGTGGAACAATTTCCCCTCTTCCCCACCCTGCATGCTCTGTTGTGGGGGATTATCCAACCCTCACAAGGAACTGGGGAACAGGGGGCACAGGGAAAAGAGAAGGGAGAAAGTCCCATTGCACTAGCAGGACTGGTTGCACTGGTTCCTGCTGGTATGGCAACTTTATTGAATCTGGCCCATAGTTTTCAACAAGGTTGTGTGGATTGATTATTTTAAAGAACTTACTGATATTAGAAACAGTTATAGATAATCATAATATGTTTTGAATTGTTACGCTTACTGTTCATTTCATATGTTGTGAGCCACTTTGGGCATACTTTTCTGGGGAAATGACATACAATTAGATAGATGATGAAGATGGTATCTGTGAAAATGGATGGTATCTGTGAAAATGGAAAGGAATAGATTATTTCACAATAAAGGGCTGAAGTTGTTAACATACCCTTCCATGTTGCTTCTCTATGGTTTTGTAACCATAGCAGTATTAATGCCCATGTAGGTCTATTGGCTGTATTGCTAGTGGGAGATCAACTAAATGGTAGAAATTTTGAATTCAGAAGCAAGATATAGCTCAGAGTTCTAGACCATGCAAACCAGGCGAGGACAGAGTGATAGGATCCCTGATGTCAATTGTGGCTTCTCTGTATCCTATTATTCTAGTCTTAGTCATTTCTTCACATTTCCACAGCAATTTGTAACTATATATATATTTTAAAATATATATATAGTTACAATGAAAATTTACCAGCATTTTAGTGCAAATTTATCCTAATAAAAACCTTTGTTTTCAGTTCTAATTCACACAATTCTCCCCAAAATAATGCATTTTTATGTTTTGCCCAAAATTTTATGCACAAGTTCCCTATTATATGCATCTTTGTACATGCAAGTTGATTAGAGAACTGCATCACAAAATTTGGAGAAATATGAATTTTGGAGGATAGCTATGTTTTTGGTTTGTGAAGTGTGAATTAGGTAGTTTCTCATTTAATTGCAGACAAAATCACATTTCTTCCCCATCGCTGCTGATGTGACAACAGCCCCTTAACACTGCATTGAGAAAGCCTTTTCTTTACTGCTGTTTGTAACAGGATTGGGCTATCCCTCTTTTTCTCCCTTTCCTGTGGGCTCCAATGGAACTGTTCAGCAGAAAGATGAGGTGGATGGATAACTCAGGTATTGCCATAGATATTTGGCCCCTGAGAATACAAATATCACCTTTTTCAATAATGATGAAATCAATGCAGTAAACATTTTCCCCAATATGTCAACTCATCCCAGAGTGCTCGCTTTCGGGCTTTTCATTTTTGTTCTCATAGATCCAACTCTGACTATTCCATCGTCAACATTACAAACACAGAGATGGAGGGGCTTGTTTCCAAATAAAAAGAGGTTTTATTAAGATAATGACTGACATTTTTTTGTTTGTTGTGGTGGTGGCATTGTACATCTATTGCAGCTTTTTAAGAGAGACAACAGCAAGTACAAAAGGAAAAGAAAAAACCAAACCGGGCTAAATGTCTCTAATCATTAGTGTCACAGGCTATTGTCCATGCTACCAGGTTCTGTATCCAAAACTTCATTCCAGAAAATTCCAAAGACTGACTTAGTTTTCAAAAAGTTTTTTTTTTAAAAAGAAGTCCCAACTTAATTGGATATAAATAACGCGCACTGGACATTTTAAAACTTTGATTTAATTACACATAAATAAATATATACAGATTTCAAAACAGTTCGGTTTGGCCTCCTTCAAGTTCTTTCTTGTGCTTTAATTGTTTATTAATTTATTATTATAAGTATAATCATTTATTCATTATTTAATATTACTAAAAAATTTGAAAACTCAAGGAGTGGAGGCTGGTGGTGTAATCTCACTCATCCTGGGTCCAGGTCAGCTGAATGACAACTCGACAGAACAGAGCATTTGCAGGGAACTCTGTTCCTTTTAGGGGGAAAACTGCTGAAACGTGTGTATTGGTGTGTCGGTCTAAATCAGACAAAACCCACTGTGATTTCCAATTGGTCAAAATGTGCAAACGAAGTCGCAGAGCTGCACAGTGGCAGTGGAACAGGTGAGGTTCCTTCTTCCTTGACCCATAAGTCTGCAACGGAGGTGAACATCAGCAGACACCTTGCTTGCTCTTTCTGCCTCATCTTTCTGGGCCTGTCCCATGAGGCAAATTAAAAACATCCCCCTGCCCTTCTTGATCCCACTAAGACCTCTTCATTTTACATTGCTCACTTCTCTCTTGGAACAGCTCAACATTGCATGATTATGGGCTTTTCAAAGAAAATGTATTTTTTAAAAAAAGAAAAAGTAATTGCACATGTAACCTGGCTTTTGGTATCCACTACTGAATACCCAAAGTGTCAACGGCAACCACCAACTGCTCTTGATTTTACTTCCATCTCTGTGAGGCCCATGTGGATGTTCCTCCTTCTCCAGTCACATTTTGTTGAGTTGGTTTCAGAGATGCATCTGTCACAGTTCAGAAAACATGGCAAGAGAAAAGGGGGGGGGTCTTCGCTGTTGCTGCTTTTCTTTTCCCAACGTCGATAAGACCCAAGCCTCCTATCTCATGAACTGGGAAAGGGGAAAAACCCTCTGACTGGGCAGGCTGGGAAACTGTGGCGTCATTTCCGATGTTTCACTTCCTTTTCTGATGTTTTGGAGTCGCCGACCGGGTGGCCGTTGCCTGTGCTGTTCATGAACATTTTATCGAGCCCTTTGAGCGACTCCACCAAGTAGTTTTGGAACGCTGTAAGTGCCGCGCAGATTGCCGGCCCCCCAAAACCATGAGTTATTAAGCTGAAGTGGGTCAAGCAACTCTGAACTCCGGGTTCCAGAATGAGGGAAGGGCGGCTGTTTCCAAGTGGAGAGCGATCTTGGGCCATCAAATCGGCAAACTCTTTGCAGATTTGCCTAGAATGAGAAAGGGGAGATATAACCTTAAGTAAAACAAGACAAAAAATGACACAAGCAGGTGTAGCTTGGCAGCTCCACTGCCACGGGCTGGGGATTGCTTCCCCTCTGTGGCAGGAGGAGGAGGAGGAGCTGCCATGTCCCAGGCTCACACGGCAGCAGCACATCTGGCATCACATCTACACATAGCAACATGTTTACATTTTAGCTAAATTGTGCCTTAGAACAGAGGTGAGTAGACGGCTCTAGAGATAGAAACTGCAGGAGCAGAGATTGCTCTTGTGCTCTGGTCCTGCTTACTGGTTTCCCACGGGTATCTGGTCGGCCACTGTAAAAACAGGAAACTGGACCAGATGGGCCATTGGCCTGACCCAGCAAGACTCTTCCTATGTTCTTAGGGATTGCAGTAAATTAACAAGTGTTTCTGATTCCCAGTGGTTCATTGATAGCAAATCCAAAAAGCCCCACTGAAATGAGGCTGCTGAAATCAAGAAACCTTAGGGCAGGGGTAGGGTACCAAAGGCCAAATGTGGCCCTCCAAACCTCTCTGTTTGGCCCCTCAAAAGTCTCTCCTGGCCTGGCTTCACAACCAATAACTTTTGCCTAGCTGGAATTTGTCCAGCACTGATAACTCCTTTGCCTTCAGTTGGTGGATGTTGGGGTACCAGTGAAAAACAATTTAGATCCCACAAGGCTAAAGTCTGCTCTTTCCTGCCTTTGAGAACTAACAGCTTAGACTCTTCACAGAGTATTTTGTGTGCGTGTACTTGTAACCAGTATAATTCATAGCTGGTGAATCTGACTTCTCCAATAGGAGAGTCTGCAAATTTATAATTTGCAGCCTACAATTCATTTGGTGATTTTATGAAACAACAATTTTCTGATTGCTTTTGAGAGTTTGGTGGGCAGAGAAATTGCCTGGAAACTGTCTTGTGATGGGATCTGTCTTACAGAATTTGGAACACCAAGCTAAACACTGAAATACAGGCCTGCCCAGAAAATTGTTCAGCACATTTGGGGATCTTTCCACCTGGGAATCTGTATACAATGAAGGCAGAGAATGAGGTATGTTTGGTATGTCTGTGTGAGAACTACAAAGCTTCTTCCCCAGGAGATTCCACCAGATTCTGTCTCAAATTCTTTTTAAAGCATTGTAAAATTTTCTTTGGACCAGGCTTGAGCAGTGATCCAACATTTTCTTTTATACTTTTACTGGATGTTGGCTTTAGCAGATTGTTAACTTGGAACATCAGGATAATACAACTTACATCAACGAATGCCGGGCTGGGGAACCTTTGGAGTTGTAGGACTCCAGCCCCATCAACCCCAGCCAGTGTAAGCAATGGTGAGAGATGATGGGAGAGTTGCAGATGAGCAACATCTGGAGAGTCAAAGGTTCCCCATCCTTCAACTACTAACCAGTTAACAGTACAATCCTACAATGTCTACTCAGAAGTATGTCCCACTAAGTTCAATAGGGCCTACTCTCAGATAACCGTTTGTAGCTTTGCAGCCTAAATAGTTCACAACCATCATAACAGAACTGCAAACAAAAATAGAAACCAGGGAATTGTAAATAATTTTTAAATAAGTAAACATAAGAGCTGCAAAAGATTCCAGGGAGAATTTGGAAGCTGTTTCAAATATAAAGGTATTAAATGTTCAAAGAAACTATTTGAAATTATTACCTTAAAATCTCTCTGCATGGCCTAAGATTAACATTATCCTTCACAGAGTTGAATTCCACATTTAAAAATTCTATTTCCAAAAGAAAGTCACATTTGAATTCTGACATTGTGCCAGGGAAATGTTTGTTTAAGCCAGACTACAGCAACCTTCCAGGTGTCCTAAACTAGAGTTCCCAACAGCCAAAATTAATTCAAAATTAATTTTCACAACTGTGGCTCTCCCTTTTTTGGAGACTCTCCCTTTTAAGGCAAAAGGGGGAAGGGTAATTGTATGGACTCTATACTCACTTGGTTGCTAAAAGCATGTTCTTCCGAGCATGAAGCTCACCGGGGTCGGAGTGCTGGCGGCAGAGGTACTCCGCTGCAGCTTTAGCCGGGAACTCTGTTTCGCACACATAACCGAAATCTCGGGCGAGGTGAACAGCCTCACCTGCAAAAGAAATATATTCATGAGCATGTATGGTCTTGTCTGCTACTGATACTCAGCATAATCAACTCTGCATGGGGTGGAGCTCATAGGGATGTCAATTTCATTTTCTCTCAGTTTCTGATTTTTCTAAGCCAAACTCCCAACTTATCACTATCTCATGGTGAGAAAGTCAAAGTTGCTTGGCAATATCTCTCTTTGTGTATTTTGCTTGTGATCAGGAGAGTTCTATATAAAGCAGAGTAGCCTTTGGAGAGGCAGACTCTTAAAAGCATGGGTGAAATATGTTAATTTCAGTTTCTCAGTTTCTTGTTTTTCCACTCTGAAATTCAGTCCTCCAAATTATCACATCACTTGGTTGTTGTTTTAAAGAAAGTCCTCATGAAAACACATCAGCAGTTTAGTGCATTTTTATCCTAATATACACGTCTGGATACAATTTTGCCCATTGTACACATTTTTCGCAAAGCAATTCTTCCCTTCATAAATTCATTTTTTACGTTATGTTCACTAAAACATGCATTTTTATGCACACTTAACAAGAAGATGCATTTTTGCACATATTACTTGGATGGAAAACTGCATTGCAAAATCTGGAGAAGCATGAATTTCGAAGGATGGCTGTGTTTCAGTTCACATCTTGTTTTGGAAAGTGCAAATTGGGTAAATTTGCCTTAAAATGTGAACTGAATTTAATTTCTGCCCATCCCTATGTGTGGGTCTCTAGACTTTTCAACAGCATGAATAAGCAGGGCTATCAGCTAAGTATAAATCTCCTGCTCTTTGATTGACCTGACTGAACAAAGCAATTGATGTATTACGAAAGCCTCAACATAGGTGCCAAAATTTAGTAAATAAGGTCACAATTTAGAAAACAAAAGCTGCTGCTTATTGTTAGAAGAAAAGTTATTTGTAATGTTTTAAAAGCAGATATACTAATAGTATATATATTGCTGGTTCTTACGTAGTCCAAACAGCAGTATACTGTGTACACACACACACACACACACACACACACACACACACAGTATAGGTCAAAGTGCTGGTTTTGACTTATAAAGCCTTAAACGGCTCAGGACTGCCAGATCCTATGCTCATCATCTGAGGCCCTTTGTGTACCTCATCCATGAAAAGTCTGGAAGGTGGCAACACAAAAATCGTCCTTTTCTTCAGTGGCTCCCTCTTTTGGGAATGCTCTCCTCAGGGAGGCTTGCCTGATGCCTTCATTACATATCTTTAAATGCCAGGCAAAAACATTTCTTTTTAACCAGATCTTTGGCTGATTAACATTCAATGTCCTTTTAAATGTGTTTGTGGGAAGGGGGTTATTGGTTTGGTTTTTTGTTCTTGTTCATGTTATGTATTTTGTGTTTCTCATTTTGTATTTTTATGTTGTGAAGTGCCCTGTGAACTTCAGATGAAGGGCAGTATACAAATTTATTGTATACAAATTAATAATAATAATAATAATGGCGCGCACACATGGGAAGCATCAGCACAGGGGGAGAATCGTAGAATTGGAAGGGACTCTGAGGGCCATCTAGTCCAACCCATAGCTGTCAACCTTCCCTTTTTTTGCGGGAAATTCCCTTATTCCAGCGCCGTTTCCCGCTGCTTCCCGATGCTATCACAGATTGTTAGATATCCTGTAGACTATCCCCAGGACAGGTGAGGCTGCTGATCCCTTATTTTCAAATCTGAAAGTAGACAGCTATGGTCCAACCCCCTGCAACGCAGGAATGTCAACTAGATCATAGTAACAGATGGCCAACCAACTTCTTAACAACCTCTGAGGAAGGAGAATCCATCACCTCTTGTGGGAGCACGGGGGAATTGTTTTGCTTCTTATATTATGTATTTTGTGGTTTTATGCTGTAGAAACACCCTGTGAAATTTTAATAATAATAATAATAATAAATAATAATACTGGAGCTCGAAGCTTTGCAGAAGTACAGAAAATCTACAGGGGCGTGACTGTAAGAGGGCCCAGTGACAACTGAGTATTCTCAGCAGGCATAGGGGAAACCAGGGGGTGTAGAATTGAAAGGAGTGGCTGGAAGCCTGAATACAGTCCCATGCCCACTGCCCCACTGCAGAAAAGGAGCACTTAGGTCCCAAAAGCTGATACAGATGGTTCCCTATTGTGTTGCTTGGACACGTCTCCCTATCCCAAGTACAGTGGAGTACGTTTTATTTTTTTGAACATTTATAACCCACTTCTAATCCATTAGAATATCAGAGCAGGGTACAAAGCATAAAATAACTTAACTGAATGATGAAACAATGCAAAATTCCTAAAGCATAGGACAGAACTGCCAAGCGTCCTCTTTTGGTTCAAATGTGCACACAGCCATGAGAACTAGAAACTTGAGAAAGTTTTTAAGCAACTTAAAAAAGCTGGTTCTGCTTGGGTATCCAAGAGCAGATTCTGCTTAGAACGGCTAAAGAGCAGCCTGGCTTCCCACCACAAGCAGGGTGGAAGCAATGCTCTGGCAACTAGGTTAATGCACTTGGGATGGATGGCATAATCCAGCAATCAGCAGGGGAGCGGAGATGAATTAACTCTGTCTGTCTAACCAGGGTTTCAGAAGCTGAGCATGATCAATTGCCATCAGCTCTGATTACTTCCGCAGGGATGCCTGAAGATGGATCAATTTCACCGATGAGAGGGCATTTCCATGGAATGATGGAATACCCCAGCCTGAGCGCCTAAGGAAGCCTCAGTGCTCATCGCAGGCAATGCAGACAGGGCCATCTCTTTCTCTTACTCCTCTTGCCTTCCACGTGAAAAGCCATCAGATGTGGACCCTCCTACCCAACCCCAGCAAAAAGAAAAACACATTACTCTATGGTTGATCTGGGGTTGTAACACAGCTGGAAAAGGGGGTGGAGTAGAGCTTTACATGCCACCCAAACAGAAAGAGGATTTGAGGAACCTCTGCATATTATTATTATTTATTGAATTTGTTAGTTGCTTTATCTTGCTCAGGGCAACCCAAAGCAACTTATAACCAACCAGACAGACAGACAAAATCTCCACACAGATACATTAAAACCAAGAGAAAGAAGGAAATGGATTACAAACATACATGCAGGGCTTTTTTAAAAGCCAGAACTCAGTTCCAGCACCTCTCAGGTGGGCACCATTGTCATTATAAAGGAACAAGGGAAGTGTTCACAGTGAGTTCCAGCCCCTCTTTTTCTAGAAAAATAGCACTGCATATATATATGAGCATGCTAATTTGCATGTATAGCTGCAAACTGAGAAATAATGACTATAATTTAAACAGAGGTTTATCTGTTCCCCAACCCTGTCCTGCAGGCTCACAGGTCATCGTCAGGATGTTTTGTAGGGGGTTTACAAATTTATTTATCATTTAATATAGAAATTCCTAAATTCTGCCTAAGGATCCCCCTTTAATATGTAGAAAGCTCTTTGTTATTGTTGAGCGGTCCAGCTTGGCTCCCATACAGCTTTGCTATTACAGTGGTACCTCGGGTTACAGATGCTTCAGGTTACAGATGTTTCAGGTTACAGACTCCGCTAACCCAGAAGTAGTACCTCGGGTTAAGAACTTTGCTTCAGGATGAGAATAGAAATCGTGCTCTGGCGGCGCGGCGGCAGCAGGAGGCCCCATTAGCTAAAGTGGTACCTCAGGTTAAGAACAGTTTCAGTTTAAGAACGGACCTCCAGAACGAATTAAGTTCTTAACCCGAGGTACCTCTGTATCTGTAATAATGGTTGGGGAACAACCCTCTCCTGCTTTGGCCTTATCCTCCCCTGTCGCAAGTAAGCTTAAAGAAAGGACCCAATTGTGTGACGGTGGCTATTTTAGAATGTCAAATTGCCACACAGGGACTGTAATGGAGGGGACGGCAGCATGTGAGCAGTTTGTGCCTTCTTTCCCCAGCTGCCCCCTTTGAAAATCTATCCGCTCTACATGTCAGACAGGTCTAGGAGAAATGTCTTATATACATGAATGGGACCTTTTCCTGCTAAGCATGAATGTTGGGTGGGATAGGGGGCAAGGAGGGGAGACCATGGATCAGACCCAAAGGCTCTGTAGGATGCAACTGGCCTGTGAGTCCCACAGTCACCCATACATTGATGTATATTGCTGTTTTAAATAATACTAATCTATCAAAGGAGAAAGTGAGATATAGTTAGATTTTTTAATTTTTATTCTACTTGTTTTCTCTCATTTAAAGCTGGGGGGTATCCTTGGCTTTCACAGCCAAAACAGGATTTATTGTTAGAGTGTGCCATAGTAAGAATGATGCACCCTTAGTGGAGCCCACCTCAACTGGAAGGAGAGGCGCCAAAACCAGAAATTCATGCAAAAAATCAAAGGACAGACTCTGCACTTTGTAAGTCGCTTTGGGTAAGTTTTTGTGGGGAGGAAAGTGAGTAACAAATGTGAAGAAGTAGTACAGCCAGGACCCTGGGGCTGTCAGGGCTTGGTTGAAATGTAAGGCTAGCCCTTTCGATATGTAGGGCTAGCCTTGTTCCTTGGTCAAACATGCCATCATCTGTAATTTACTCCGACCCCCCTGAACAGCAGCCAGTGACAGCTCCCAGCTGTCTGGGCTGAGTCAAAAATGTGTCTTTCCCTGTCCTCCTTTTCTTCTGATGGTAATCAACCATTCAAAGGAGCCAGGCCCAACTGCCTGGGGAACAACCGCTGCCTCACAGACCTGTTCGTTTCATTTGCTGCCAACAAAAGAGATGGGCTATTCCTCCTTGGCAGCTGCCTTTTGGGCCACAATGGATTTCAGAGCAAAGCAAATGCACAGTCCAAAAACTCCTGTCACCGTGTGTGTGTGTGTGTGTGTGCGCGCACACACACACACACACACACTTCTCACATCGAGGTTGCCGGGATGACAACCTCTCTCGTTTACCATGAAGGCCAGAGAATAACCCCATCCTGCCTCCTTAGTTCCCTTCAGGTGCCTGTTAGTTAATCTTTTGCCCATATTAATCACAGATTAATCAGGGCCCATTTCTGTGCAGGGTGATGATGCCAAAGGCTTCTCCCCACGCCACCTCTACTTATACAGTGGTACCTCAGGTTACAGACACATCAGGTTACGGACTCCGCTAACCCAGAAATAGTACCTCGGGTTAAGAACTTTGCTTCAGGATGAGAACAGAAATTGTGTGTTAAATTTTTATTTTGCCAGGTCTTTGACCTTAACTGAGTTTCTCTCCTGCTGTTTGAAGCTTTATCCTCTGTATTTGTTACTTTTGTGCTTTAATTTTTAGAGTTGTCTCCAATGCTATTCTTACTCAGGACAGACCCATTGACCAGCTTAGGTCCATTCATTTCAATTATTCCACTCTGAGTAGAACTTAGGGAAGCTTTTAATGTTTAAAAGACTATTGTATTTTAATATTCTGCTGGAAGCTGCCCAGAGTGGCTGGGGAAACCCAGCCAGATGGGCGGGGTATAAATAGTAAATTATTTATTATTATTATTAGGTAGCTACAGCCAATAATATTTACTGCTGGTTTTATATTCGATTTTAAATCTTGTTATAAGCCACCTTGGGGGAGTTTTAATGGCTAAGGCACAACATGTGTTTTAAAGAAGCATATAAATGCAGCACCCCGCAAATCCCACAGACAGGGTATCGAAGACAAATAATATGAAGCCCTCTCATGTCTAACAGGAGAGGATATTTTGAGCACCAAACACCCCGTGCATCCTCCAAGAAATCCACTGAGCTCCCGAACGGAAGGAGCCTTACCTTCCACCAGTGACGTTAGCAAGGTGACATTAGCTGCTTTACGCCTCCCAGCAGGTAGATTTAATCCTATCTTCTCCAACCTTTCCCTTAAACACCTTCCACCATTTTTAGATTTTGCCCTAGAAGAGGAAAGCAGAGAGATAAGACAACTTGAGCGGATGGGAAAGAAAAATAGCGGTGTGGGCATATGGGGAGAAACCATACATTATTATTATTCATTGTTCTTCTACAACCACAGGATAATTCAGAAGTCTATTTCGAGATGCAAAGACACTAAAAGGCTACACCATACATTTAAAGCACACGGCCTCTCCCAAAGAATTCTGGGAACCGTAGTTTTTAAGGGTGCTGGGAACTGTAGCTCTGTGAGAAATAAATGACAGCTCCCATGATTCTTTGGGGGAAGCCATGGCTTTAAACATGCCTTAAATGTTCAGCGTGGATGTAAGCTCTGCAGCTGTTCTCACATGCCGAAACCACCATTCACCCTATCCCTACCTTCCCTGGCTTGGTGCCCTTCAGATGTTTTGGATTGCAACTCTTGCCGTGAGAGGGGAGGCGAGAATAAACAATTCCTTGAATTGCCACCATCCACCTCCCACAGTGGTCCTTCCCTCCTCCAACTGCCACCAGGGGAGCCTGAAGACCCACTTGCCCTGAGGGGAGTGAGAAGAAGCAAGCCATAATAGCCTTTTAAAGCCAACATTTCCATTGTAATTTTAAAAAAGAAATAAAATTGATGCTGATCCTTGTAATAATATTATGTAAACCGCTGTTATAAGCCTTGTGGAGATGCTGTGGAGGGGATGTTCAGATCCTGAGAACTGGGAAGAGATCAGGCCGTTGGAGCTTAGATGACTCCTAGCAGTAGTGGAGCCCCAATAAATGTCTGAGCCAGAGGAGGGGGCCATGATCACGGGAGTCAGGAGCTGGATCCTGTGGAGAGTCCAAGCCCCACTTGGGACTGACAAGCGATATAGGTTGTTTTCCTTCTTATTTTGTTAAAATATTTCTCCCCAGGCTTTCCTCACGTAGTTCAAAGGGCAGAGACTTACGAAAAGTATTCAAATGCCATCAGAGAGCTGGTTTTCTCACTGGGAAGCTTATGGGATATAGATCTTTCTTAAACTGCCCATAAAAAGGTGATCTGAAAAAATCCATGCCGGTAGATCGGGAAACACTGCTGTTACAGGCAGCAAGATATGGGTGGGGTCTGCTATGGGAATCAACAATAAACAAAAATGAATGGAGTTACAGAAATGAGTGAACTCATTCCAGATCCGTAATGAACTGGATCAGTTTTCTTGGTTTCTCACCTCCGGAGGACTCCGCCAAGAAGAGAAGCGTTCAGACATTCAGGGGGCGAGAGCCGCCTCTGGACCTCACCAACGGTCACTTTGTACTTTGAGGTGGAGCTGAGGAGAGACAGGCGGCCAGGCACAGAGCAGAAGACTTCATTGGGGTTTGTCACCCCTCCAATCAGGGTGTCTTTGTTCATAGAAAGGGCGGAGATGGTGGTGCCATTGGCTTTTGACGGGATGGGCACTAGAAGGAAGAAAAGTACACTCATGAGAGAGTGAAGAGGCGTGGAGCCACAAAACAAGAATTGTATCTCAAGAGTAGGGATGAAAGTATCTGTGAATTTCTGTTTTCTCCAGTTTCCCATTTTCCCAATCTTCAAATTGTTTCTCCAAATTTATGAAGCATTTTTATTAAAAATAAATAAATAAGAAAAATCCTTTTTTATTAATGTACACATTTGTGAAAACAGCTTCCCCAAATAATGTATTCTATATGCTATTTTCACTAATAATAATAATAAATTATTTATACCCCGCCCACTCTGGGTGGCTTCCAACAAAATATTAAAAATACAATAAAACATCAGACATTAAAAACTTCCCTAAACAGGGCTGCCTTCAGATGTCTTCTAAAAGTCAGATCATTGTTTATTTCCTTGACATCTGATGGGAGGGTGTTCCACAGGGAGGGCGCCACTACTGAGAAGGCCCTCCCCTCTGCCTGGTATTCATTTTATGCATTTTATTCACTTTCTGCCACACACACACACACACACACACTCACACACTCTATAATGTTTGGTTCGAGAACTGCATCACAAAATTTAGATAAGTGCAAACTTCAAAGAACAGCTGTCTTTTGGATCTCATATTGTTTTCGAAAGTATGACTCTGATAGATTCACCTTTCAATGCTGACTGAGTCAAATTTCTTCCGCATCCCTACTCAAGAATGTCTATTATAAGCTGTGACCAGCTCCAGAAGAGCAGCCATTGGGACCAGTATTAACACCCAGCATCAAGCCTTCCATTTTAATTATCCACAATGCACTGGAGCCACACTAAGCTGAGGGCATTGTGGGAAGGGAAAATGGTGGTCAACTCACAGCTGCTCACCACATATCACAATGCTGTTGTTTGCTGCTGCTAGCAGCAGTTAAGCCCACCCGGGGGAATTGTGGGAAGGACATTTTGCCAGGGTGGGTGGGATGCTAAAACCCAGAGTCAACCCTGGTAGCTAAATGAGTGTGCTGCAGCAAAAACAAGAAGTATAAAAGACTAACAAATTTATTGTGAAGGAAACTTTTGTGGGCTAGAGTCTACTTGGTCAGATGCATCATGAAGCCTTGTTTTTGGTTAGCAGATGGGCATAAAGAATTCTAAACCATGGGACCAAAACACCATGAAATGCAAAGGTTTATCTGCCAACTGAGAATGAGACTTCATGCATCTGACACAGTGGGCTCTAGTCCAAAGAAAAGGTTCTGCCAGAAAAATGGTTAGTCTTTAAGATGCCACAAGAAATCTGGTTCTTACAGATGTGGTGACGCTGAAAAATAATCAAGGAGTGTTGGGGAAAGGTGTTTACGATTATCAAAACAAGACATAACGTTGACTGAACTTCTAATTAAGCCCACTGAAAGAGAGATGATGGTGGGGGAAGGGGGACTCAAGAGAGGTTTTATAGAGAAAAGTGAGGAGAAACTGTGGGTGGATAAAGAGCCTCTAGCATAGCGTCATTTCTAATAGCCAACTCAGGTGGTACATTCCAGCCAATGGGACTGGAGACAACACTTGGCTAGTCACAAACATGAGGGAGGTATATCAGCATGCTTGAGGGAAACTCCAAAAGTTTACTGAAGCACTCGTTTATTAATTTTAAAAACAACCCAAACACAGACACAGACACACAAACAGCCTGATGATGACCAAGCATGATCAGTAACCACTTAATGCTGCACGTCCATTAGAAATGGAAAACGGGTAAAATGACGTGCTTGTACTGAATGGCTGAACGCAGTAGAGGTTGATCCATTAGGATGAATGGGGCACTGCCCCACCAACCTCAGTCTGTCCTTAGCCAACCCATATGCCTGTCTTCTTTCTTATGACCCCTTAGCAGGTGGACCTGCCTGTCTTTGGCTTGGCCTCCTCTCCTGTTGGTCTTCTTCCCTCCCAGTTTCACTGGGCACCAGTCACCACTGTCTGGATGTGACATGGGACTGCAACATTTTATTGTGGCATGGCACACTAATACAGTGGTACCTCGGGTTACAGGCGCTTCAGGTTACAGACTCTGCTAACCCAGAAATAGTACCTCGGGTTAAAAACTTTGCTTCAGTATGAGAACAGAAATCGCGCGGCGGCGGCGGCGGCAGGGCGGCAGCGGGAGGCCCCATTAGTTAAAGTGGTACCTCAGGTTAAGAACAGTTTCAGGTTAAGAACGGACCTCCAGAACAAATTAAGTTCTTAACCCAAGGTACCACTGTATGCAAAATCACAATGCCTAAACAACTGCAGACGGGCAGAATCAGAATTGCTACTATACAATTCAAAACACAGCAACCATGTCCGTATCACAATCAAACAGGCACTGACAATCATGACTTTTCGTCATCGGTTAAAAACTTTGAGATTTTTCTGCAGCTTTCCCGGAGAGAGAAGTCTATTCACTAACAGCATTTGTTGATACTGTTTTATGAGAACCGTATTTTACGCATTTTGTTGTATTTTCTTTTAATTTTGTACCTGGCTATGGCATTGTTAAATGCTCAGCAGTCAATAAACGTAAATTAATACTAGAATAGAACCAAGTTGAATTAAATGATACAAACAAAAGTATTCTCAAGTATTCTAACAGCAGGAGCAGGTGGGTTTCATCGCTTTCCTATGCAGTCAAAGAGCAGGTGAAGGGGGTTAGCATGATGCTTTGTGAAGCAATCATTTGGTCATTATGTGGAGGGGTCCAACATGCTTATATCAGTACTCTTCTTTTTATCTTATTATTACACTTACATCCCCGATTCCCTCCAAGACACTTGATTTTTAGCACTAACAACAATTACACAGCTCTTTTCATCTTAGGTTTATCATCTTATCTCACATTCATCCTAACAAGAACCTTATAAGGTAGGTTGGTTTAATTCCCAATTTACAAATGGGGAAAGGGAGAATGAAATGAAAATCGGCATAGTCGGCCAATCGGTGTTAAAAAAGGATAGAACTTTCTTTATGTATGCAACAACAGCAGCAAGAATATTTATCGCAAAGTATTGGAAGACACAAGAGCTACCCACACTGGAGGAATGGCAGATGAAACTGATGGACTATATGGAATTGGCGGAAATGACTGGCAGAATCCGTGACCAGGGAGAAGAGTCGGTGGAAGAAGATTGGAAGAAATTTAAAGATTACCTACAGAAATATTGCAAAATTAAAGAATGTTAGAGTGATGATGGATTGAAATTAAGTGGTTTCTAGCTGTACAGGCTTTAAAGTTAAATACAGATCAAGATTAAGGATTAAGATTAAAAAGGTTAAAAGAATGGAAAATTGGCTATTAATAGATAAAAAATTAATGTTATATTATATTAAGATTAAGGATTGGGATTAAAAAGGAGGGAAAGGAATTGCTGGACAAACAAACTGAATTGGAATACAAAAGAGGGAGGTATGAGGAGGTCCAGAAAATAAGTAAATTCAAAAGTAGTGATGAAAAGATGGAATTGTTTTTAACTGTTTATTCCTTTTTTTTTCTTTCTGTATTTTGTATTGTGTATTTTTCTTTTTACTTTCAAATTCTTTTTTTACTGATGTGTCTCTTTTTATCTGAAACTTTAATAAATATAATTTTTAAAAAAATAAAAATGAAATGAAAATCCAGCCCCTCCCAGGTGGGCCAAACAGGGTCACGCTGGATCGCTTTTATTCAACCGCCGTTTTAACTTTCTCACACTTCTGTCTTTGACCCTTGTGGTTTTCGCTTTTGAGAAACTCCTAAAATCACAAGACTTGCAATTAAATCGAAAGATTTGGCAGCTGAATGTTGCATGTGTGATGACAACAGCTCATTTCTTTCTCCCCTTTGGTGTTTTGTTTTGTTTTTTTAAGCCTTTTCAGGCACTACCAAGAAATGTTAAAGCCAGAATGGAAGATTGATGCCAAGATCTGTTTGGAAATCAGGCCTAATTTCAGTGCAGGTTTTCAAAAGCATCCTTGCTGGCTGCAAACGTAGATGCCAGCGGCACACCAACCGGGTCAGGCCTGACCTGGCAGCAGAGCTGCTGCAGCCGGGCGCACTTCGCCACGGCAGAGGAGGGCTGCTCTCTCAATGAAGGAGCCTGCTGTGGGGGTGCCTGTTTGCACCCCCTCTGATAGTTGCGCCCACGGCCACGGCCCTCACGGCACCCCAAACGCTATGCCTCGGGTAGCTGCTCCTGGTTATCGAAGCCTTGGCATTCATTCCAGTTTGCTACGTAGCAACTGCTCCAGAACATTGCCAGGCTTAATGGGCAGATCAACCACAACCACCACATTTAATAAGGGAAATGCAAATGCTCAAATTGGAAAGAGTAGCCTCAAAATTCAACTGGAAAAGGCAAAGCAGCGGGAACCCATTAAGGGGGCCATGACAATCGGTACATTGTGAACCAGCAGCTCCCCAACTTGTTAGCAGAACTATAAAAAGCCAGCACATGTTACATAAAAATGGGCAAATGCTTTCGGGGCTAAGAGATGAATGCAAGTCAGCTGAGGGGCAGGGAGCAGTGATGTAACTGGTGATGTCGTCCCACTTCGTTCATTTTTTGTGCATTGTTGAGCCCACCCCATTTTGCAGCTTGTTCTCTCTTGGCATTTTGAGGCTGTTTCTTAAGATTTCGTAATCTTTTTCAAAAACTTTGCTATGTGTTTGTAGCATGGATTCCAGCCACATAACCAAGAACAGGTTTTGGTTCATGTAATTTTTCCACAGACCTGCGATAGATGTGTACGTGGAAAGGAGATGACTTGTGTAAAGTGAAGCTAATGTTAGCAGGATTTGTTATTATGAAAAAGGTTTATCATTATTATTATTATTTTAATGCAGTCCAGGGCATTGTAATCCCACAAACTGTCACAGAATTGTGCTCAACGTCCACGCACTTTGATGAGGGCACAACATGGCCAATTATGTGTCATTTCGTACTAAATTTTTAAAAATGCTAACTTTGTTCAGATCCCTAAGTATGGAGTTCTTACTCAGCTTGAGATCTCACCAAACAGTAGAGCTGGCAGAGTCGTTCAAAAGCAGCTGGTGACCACAAGCCTCGCTTCCAGATTCAAGGACTATGAGGCGTACTTTTCTACTGCATCTGGCAATGGGTGCAGAAGAGGGGGAGGGGCCCTTAGCTCTGCCCAAAGAATTGGTGCAGTGTAGCAGGCATTAAACTTGGAAAATGCAATATGCCCAAGGGTTATGAACATCTAGAAGCCCATGGGGAAATTACATCTCCCAGGTCTACTTTCTAAAGGGGAGAACAAATGAAGTCCCCTTCCTTCTTTCCTCTCTCACACTTACTTTCTAAGGCGCAGCAGAAGGTAACTGGGTGGGAAGGAAGGGAGGTTTTGGGGGCTGGATGCTTGTCGGCTGGAAAGGCTGCATGAATCACACCAGATTGCATGGATCAGAGGAGCAATGGGGTTTGAACTGATTCAGATCAGCTCTGGTTAAGCGCCCAAACTGTTTTCTGATGCTAATGATAACTTGAATTAATCCAAGATAATCTGATTTGAGCCACCAAATTGTTATAACAGGTATGTGAGCCAATCCAGAAATCACATCCACAGATAGTTGACCCGGAAAGGTCAGGCATCGCTATAAAGAAGAGTCCAGGGTTGCTGTTATGACTCATTCACTACTACTAATGTAATCAATCTTAATAGAAAAGAAATGGAAAATGGCATTGTGCAGGCGGGGTCCTCCCTAAATTCTTAATTCATAAATCACTATTCATTAGGTGCTCATGAATTCACAATTGACTACTTTGGTAGCTGCAAATGGGCAATTCCGGTTAGTCACAAACTCATAAGTTGCTAGTTGCTGTCTATGCACTCCTGAGTTATGTAAGTTGTTTTTGTAATGGGTGCTTGGATGCCTGCACATCACGTGTTGCCAGAGAGCATTGGGAACTACTTTTGTTTCTGCCTTAAGTTGTCTAAGCAAATTAAACAAAGTCCAGGGTCAGGAATCACCCTCCTTTTCTATATCAAATGAAAGAAGATTCTAAGTTGGATAGGCCCTCTTTCATAATGGTATAGAAGTGAGATGCAAAAAAATGAATGGGCCTATGGGGTCTCAAACCACTGAAATGGAAAATATTCTTAATGCAAAGAAGTTAGCTGGTGCAAAAGATTGGGCGAAAGATTCTTGCGTTGCAGAAGGCTGGACTTGATGAGCCTTGTGGGTGCCTTCCAAATCTATGCTGGGGACTGAACCTGAGACCATCTGCATGGAAATCAGTAGTACACTACCACCAAGCTGTCATCCTTCCCTGTACTTTTTACTGGGAAAGGGAAGAGACTAAAATCTTACTAATGTTCAGTAGATGAGGGTTGCCATTCTAAGGTTGGACTGAACTGAAACAGCTTTTTAAATGGTTGCATATGCCTCTGGGACAGCAACTGTTAGCAATGCATAAACTTGAAGGTTCGCAATTAATTAATATCCCACCCTTCGTTAAAAATCACAGAACACAAAACATACAACAACACTGACAACATGCAATATACTGAAATACATTTAAAACATAAAACAAAAGAGACCATAATAGCAAAACCATTGTGAGATAACTTCTTTATATGGAACTATTAAAACTTCAAGGGAAACATGGCTGTCTCTTTCATTAAGTAACATCAGAAGTAAGTTTTAGACTCCGCTTAGTCAGAGAGCATTTGGGAACAATAGCTGATCATCCCTGTGTCCTGTTTGGCTCTGCAGTGCTGTTTATTCCTGTACAGTGACGATTTTGTCTTGTCATGGTTTTAATTATATCATTTTGTGCTACTGTTAAGCCACTTTGTAGATGGTAACAAATGGAATGGAAGAGTATGTATGTATGTATAAATATTTATTATAATATACTATTATTATCATATAAATAGATAATGGAGGGGCTGCTGAATAGAGGAGTAACTTGCCTAAGGCCACCTAGTAAACTCATGACAGACGTAAGATTTCCCTATTTGTAACTCATTCTCTTAGCCCTTAGGTAAGCCCAAAGATGGCTGTTACCAAAGGTACATGGGATGGCCACCTTCTTCTGCTTGCAGAGTCCCCCCCAAAAGGCACAGCACGTTAAGATGTCCAGTCACTTCCTGGAAGCAGTTTTGAAAGGGTAGCATTTGGGGAAGCATCACAGAACAACTAATAAAGCCGAATGATGCATGGATGGTCCACTTTAAATCCACCACAAATGGCCCTTGTATCACATCAATGACATGTTGCAGAACACACCCACAAAGAAACACCAGTTTGGAGGACTCCAAGGTCCCAGGCAGTTGGAGTGGGAGTCAAAAGGAGTTGCTGTTTTTTACTGACTATTTTAGATGCAGGAAAGAGAGGCTTGAGAAAGGCAGTCTAGAGTGTTCTGAGGTTGTGGGACTTCAGAATCTGCACCGATTCAGTCCTGACACTAGGAAGCACTGCCTGCATTGGCTTGCATTTTCCTATACTTATTGTTATTAAAAATGAACTTTACTAATCTAATCAGCATGTGTGAATACGTTTCATCTCCTTACCCAGCTTACTTAACATGCATATGATACAGGTCATGCCTGTGTCTTAGCCATTTCCTGCATGATCTAAAGCAGTCCAGAGCATCAAACACATTTCACTCAGTGGATTTCTGAAGCTGTTTATTCCTGAGTCAGACCACTGATCCATCTAGCAAGGTATAGTCCAAGGTCTGAAGGAGGGGTCTTTTGCAGCACAGCTAGCTGCAAAGGTGGGGAATTAACATGGAGCCTCTGACATGCAAAGCTATGCTTACTTCTCTATCATTGGGGCCCCAGGCTGCAATGGTCATAGTGGTGGCTTCATTTGAAGGATGCAGTAGGGGGCTCACCTGCCTCTCTGGTTTTACCCTTGTCAGCATTGTCTACCACATCGGTTCTTTGTATAACAATGATAGGGAAACTTTGGCTTTCTAGATCCTTGACCCTAACCATTGGTGATGCTGCCTAAACTTGATGGGAGTCTGAAAACATCTGGAGGGGCACAGTCTTCCCACCACTGTTATTTATTTTATTTATTGCCAGCAGCCTCATGCTTGGCATTGCTTGAGAAGTCCAAGGAACCCTCAAATCGCTGCAGTTTCAAAACTGGTAGTTTCAAAAGGTTCAGTCCACCAGCTTGATTCAAAATGGCATCCAGTTGTATACAGACAGAGACAAAAAAACCCCTGCTCCTTGGTGTCACGAACCAACATGCTGCTGTAGTTGCTTATGCTATCTTAAGAGGTGAACAGACAGCTTTCTGAAACATAGAGTAGAATTAACTTGATCCAATTGTACCCTAATCCTATATTTTATGGAATGGGCTTTTACGTCACGCGAAAGCTCAAATACAATGCAGAAATTAACAGTTAGGCAAATGTCACGGAAACAGAACAAACTGCTGTGTGAATGCAGTCTTGGTCTGTCTTCCTCTTTCCCAATCTTTCTCCAACTTAATTTTTAAGACCAATGGAAAATAATGATTAAATAATGGCGGCGAGTGGGATTGGTTCAATTCTTCTGATGTCAGGACCTACCCTATCTGTGGGCCTTGACTCTCCAATGGAAGACCAACAGGGCTGTTCCATCGAGCCATAGGAGAGTGAATAAGATGGGACTGCAGGGTCTTTCCATCAGCTCTGCTAAAAGACCAGCAATTTTTTGGCTCCATCTCTCCTTGAAATATTTCCATTCCTGCTGATCACGACAAGAAAATGCGTAACTAAGAAATAGTGTCTGGGGTTTTCTTTTTTCCTCCTCCCTCCCAGTTACTTTTCCTTTTGTATTGTGACTTTTAGATTGTAAGCCTGAGGGCAGGGACTGCCTTCCCATTGCCATTTGCAAGCTGCTCTGGGGGATACAAATTTGTTTATTTATTTAGCAAATTTTTAAGCTACTTGATTGTAAAAACAAAACAACAACCTCTAAGCAGATTACAAGAAATATTAACATTAACAATAAACAACAACAACAGTTTAGCTCAACAGTTTTCTGTATTGAAAATCCCATCAGTTAACCCCAATTCTTTGCAAAATTACTGGTTTTGGATTGAATTTTCTTTCAAAAAACAAACAAACATCTAACCAAACAAACAAACAAACAAGCAAACAAACAAACAAACATACAAGAGCCTTACACTCTTCGTTTTCAGTTATAGAAAACTTCAGTTTCTTGGAATGTTGGTGCAATCCCCAGAAACTCCTTTTAAAAAGTAAATATATATTGTTTCTTTTCTGTCTGCCTTCCTTAAGGTAAAGGTAAAGGGACCCCTGACCATTAGGTCCAGTCGTGGACGACTCTGGGGTTGCGGCGCTCATCTCGCTTTATTGGCCGAGGGAGCTGGCGTTTGTCCGTGGACAGCATGACTGTGGCCAGCATGACTAAGCCGCTTCTGGCGAACTAGAGCAGCACACGGAAACACCGTTTACCTTCCCGCCAGAGCGGTACCTATTTATCTACTTACACTTTGACGTGCTTTCAAACTGCTAGGTTGGCAGGAGCAGGGACCGAGCAACGGGAACTCACCCCGTCACGGGGATTGGAACCGCTGACCTTCTGATCGGCAAGTCCTAGGCTCTGTGGTTTAGACCACAGCACCACCCATGTCCCGTGTCTGCCTTCCTTACCAGTACATAACAGAGAATTTTGCCACTATGACATCAATCCTTCACTTGCACAACTGTTCTTGGTGCTAGACATCTTTGTTCACATCCAATTTGCAAATAAGCCCTTGTTTCTTTTAACAAAGACATCCTAAGGGGACTAGTGACATGTCACATGCCAAAACGTCAGAGAGCCTCAGTGCCATTTTACAAAATGAGAAAGTGCTTTGGGAGAGGAGAATCTGGAACACAGAGATTCTGCATGGATTGCAGTAAGTCACCTTTCTCACACCACTTCTCCACTCCAAATCTCCCTCTGGAGTGGCTGTGGCTGTAGCTCAGTGGGAGAGCATCTGCCTTGCTACCCAGAAGGTCCCAGGTTCAATCCCTGACATCTCCTGGAAGGACCCCTGTCTGAAACCCAGAGAGCCACAGCCGGTAATTGTAGACAATACTGAACTAGGTGAACCAATAGCCTGTCTCAATCTAAGGCACATTCCTATGTTCCTGTATAATAATGGTGGGCAACGTGGAGTAGGCCAGTGGGTGAGTGTCTCTTTCACTAAGTTGGGGTGGCTGGAGCTTGGAACGGGGATAAGAACTGCTAACTCAGCTGGTCAGACTGGGTACTAACATAGGCTCTGGAGGGTCTAACCCTGCCTGGCTGTCAGCCATACATTCTCCCCCCCTTCCCATCTAGCATCATGTGTCACCAGCCAGATACTTTTACCAGCTATGGCTGGTATGCCGATTACATTCTTGGACAGCGACAGTCTGGCCGCAATGATTCATGCATCGGTAACCTCAAGGCTCCATAGTTGCAATGTTCTCTCTGTGGGGCTAGCTCTGGACCTGGTCCGAAGGCTCCAGCTGGACCCGCTCCTCTGAGGGAGAGCTCAGTTTTAAGGTCCAGGCAGGGCCAGCACCAGCATACAGTGGTGGTTCCAAGTTTGAGGTGGTCCTTGGCAAAAAGGGAGGCCCCCTCCTCTCTTGGGTGGGGGCTGGGTTTATCTGATGGTAGCAAAGAACCACAATGCTCCAGGCAATGTCAGGCAGCTGGGCCTAACTGTGGTTTTTAATTTCCCACAATGCTTCAGGTGGGCATTGTGCAGGGGCATGGTGGGAAATAAAAAATGCTGTTAGATCCAGCTGCTTGGCGTCACTCAGAGCTCTACGTTGGAACAAAATATGTAAAAAGTGGCCCTGTCAGGAAGTTGGCACTCTGGCAGCTGCCCTGAGCTGCCAGGTGCCGATTCTGGCCATGAGTGACAGGAAAGTTTTAAGTATTACCTCTCACACAAACAGCCTGGCACTGCTTCTCAGCTCAAAATTTCCTTCTCCCGAAAGAGTTTCTCATTTAAAACCAAAATCCACAGAGTGACATTCTTTTATGCCATATGTATGTATAGTTAGCCTCTCAGTCGCTAATATTCTGTTCCTGAAAGAAAACACCCCCTGCACAAAGCCACTCCATGCACACCTGAGGTGAAAGGGCTGGTTGGGAGACTAGCCAGGACCATTACAGAAGTGTTGTAGGAAGGTGCCACAGGTTCTCCACGGTGCATATACTCCTCTCAATAACTCCAGTAGCTTCTTTTTTCAATCCAAAGGTGCTTCAGAGTTCAAATTGTGATCCACGATAGAAGGTATTTATGGCAGCACCCGCAGAGGAGGTCAGAGCCCTCAGCTATATTTCAAAGGTGTCCTCTGTCATTAGCTTTGTTCCCCGAGGGGATTTCTCAGGTATTCTGTCTTATCTTGAATGCGCAACCTGAGCAAGGCCTTTGTGTCAAAGAGATCTCTCAGGTACCACAAGCCTTTGAAATGGAAGGGGCTGCTTAGATTCTTCCAGAATCTTTAAAATCACCCCACATTCTGCTCTGTCATTCAGGTGTACGGAGGAGGGAAAACAAAATATAAATGTCACCAGGTGAAGGAGGAAGTGTGTGACGCAGCTTGCTTCATGACACGTTACAAAATTCCTCCATAACAATTGCTCCTGAGTAACGAATTAAGTTGTAGCACGCATGCAGGTAATGAAAAGCGGTGACTCCACAGGTGTGCAAATTGTGAGTGTACAAAATGCAGAGAAACTGCAGTTGGTACCCCCTGGACTGTTTTCAAAATTCTGTTCCTAAATATCGTGGCTGGCCCAAAGAGAAGGGCAAGATGAGACACCCCCATTCCCCGCCTTCAGATTCCACGTATAGAGGCTGACTGGACCAGCCATTGAATCTTATTTCAATATGGGTGACTAGAGATTTGCAAATCTGTCATTTCTGGTTCCTCTCAGCTTCTCATTTTTCCAGCTTAAGTACAGTCCTCCACATTAAGTTTCAGATTTATTCATTTTACTTCATGAAAATTAATCAACATTTTAGTGGGATTTTTGCCTAGTGTGTTATTTTCACTAATACATGCATATGCACCGAATCCTAGTACAGTATGTCCATTTTTGTATGCCTTGCCTGACTGGAGAACTGTACTGCAAAATTTGAAGAAGTGTGAATTTCAAAGGATGGCTGCATTTCACTTCACATAATATTTTGGAAAGTGCAAATTACAGAGGTTCCATCCATGTTGGTGAAAGCCACCACACTTGGTATTGTTTTATCTAAAACCACTTTGTTGATTAAGTGGTATATAAATATTGGCAAATAAAATAAATTAAAAATCCTGCTAGCTTGGGCAGTTCAAGGCAGGCCATGTGACACACACAAAGCTCCGTCCAACATTTCACTGCTGCTTCCTGCCCCACAGCATCTGCCACCTGAGGCGGCTGCCTCATTCTGCCTATTAGCAGGACCAGCCCAGGAAATACTGTATATATTATAGACAGATAGATTTAACACCCTCACCAGTACAAACATCCTCAGAGCAGCTCCCAAATCAACAAGAGAGTTAAAACAAATAATAAATTAGGATTGCAATCCTATACACATTTGCCTGGTAGTCCCATTGAAATCAGGGGGACTTACTTTTAAGTAGACAGGTATAGGAGTTTGGGTCTTTTCTTTGACACCAGGAATAATCACAACTGGTCTGGACACAAGGTTATCAGATGAAGAAGACTTGGGTAAAAGATCAGGGGGAATTTTCCCTTGCAGAGGGGAGAACCTTGTCAAACAAGTTTTGCTACAATGTTTAGGGCTAACTGATCACTCTGTTTGGGGTCAAGCTGGAATTTTCCCTGAGGTCAAGCTGGCCTTTTATTTACTGAACTATGTTTCCATTCTTGTCTTTCTCCAATGACCTGAGCTCAAGATGGCTAGCAGTGTGCTATGAAGCTGTTTTTTCCTGCACATTTGCTCTGCTGGAGTGTTTAATCTATCTGCTTTTTACTATATAAAAATCCAGGTAAATGCTATATATAAAAACCATTTCCTGCTGGATTCTCATGAAAGGGTGACCCTTTTAGCTGTTGCAGGATTTGCCTTTGCAGCAATTTAAAATTTGGCCCAATTTACTACCTTCTCAGTCATATGATAAATAAAGTTAGACTATATTGCTATTGTGAATATTTCCTTTTGTTGCAATTATGACTACTTTTGTTCTGTGGCTGAAACAAAAATGCTAAATTGACTGACTGACAATGTGGTTGTAATATTTTTGTAACTCTTTGCTGACTGGGGCTGACAGGAGTTGTCATCCAAACTATCTGGAGGGCACCAGGTTGGGGAAGGTTGACATAGACCTTAGCTGCTGAAGTGATGCACTAGGATCTTTTGAAGGGCCCAGCTGCCACACAAGACCCCTCCTCCCTTGTGCCAAATGTAATGCAAGGGAAAATACAGGTTTTTTTCCCATTAGTCCGTTTTTAAACCAAAGTGTTCTTAAACCATAGCAGCGGGGGACTCAACAGAACACACTCAACAGAAAGCGGAACATGTTCTTATTCCAAGGCAAAGTTCACAAACCAAAACTCCTACTTCCGGGTTTGCAGTGTTATTAATCCAAGTTGTTCCTAAACTAAGCTGTTCTTAAACCAAGGTACCACTGTACATTGATTTTTCTAAAAGTTACATTCATAAACAGAACCAAATGAAAACAAACCCAAATATATACCCAGAAGATGAGCATAAACCACCCAGACCATAACATTGTATAAAGGAAACGTCAACCCCCCACTAATCCCATTTCCCAAATGTGTAATATCAAACACAAGTTATAAGAGTTACTTTACAATTTTTTCCACATTATTCACCACCCCTGCCTCTCTTTGTCCTTCCGTTTTGTGAGTATGTGTAGAAAGCATGCCTATAGACACTTTTCTTAATTAAGTAGTTATTTAAGCAAAATGTTTTTGCCATTGCTTATTCATTTATTTAATTATTAATCATTTAAACATTTATTTACTGTCTTACTTAATTATTCCCTTTACAAATATCTTTTTGTTTCGTTTTTAGATTAGGGCTAAATGTGTGTTTTCATAAAAACCTATAACCGCAAAGAAAAGGAATATCTATTTCCCATTATCCCCCTTCGCTATACACTCCTGAGGTGACAGGAAAGTGCTACGCAGCCTCGAGGGGGGATGCCCCATAGCTCTTTTGGAGCCAGTCAGGGCACTTCTAGCCAACCTGTAAACTGAGCATTCACCCCGACTATGGGAAGATGATATGACTGTGTCAAAGCAAGGCTGCACGCCCACACACCATACATTTAAAGCACATTTACAGCATGCAGCTTCCTCCAGACTATCCTGGAAACAGTAGTTGACTCCACAAAGCTACAGTTACCAGCTATTGTAACAAATGGTACTTCACAAGATTCCTGTTACTTCCCTTCTTGCTAAAGGTCTGATCTAGAGGAAAAGTGGGTTTGCTACGCAAGACCTCCCAATCAACTATAAGAGCAGCATCCAAATTTGCCAGTATGTGGTAGAATGAATCCCACCCGGAAACAGGCTGGAAGCCCCCTCAGCCACTCAGTCTTCCTTGTTTCAACAGTGAGTCACCCAACACAGAACAAAGCATACAACTCTCAAGCAAAGCCTGTTTCAATTGTGGTTTTTTGCTTTCAAAACAAAGACCTAGCACTATTCATCAAAAGGCAGGCTAGTGGCACAAGTAATCGATAAAGCCTACAGATTATCAGTTGCAGAGTGGCCCTGTGTCCTACTTTAGACTGGGCAGGATTATAATGATTCAGGTGGTCCTTGAGGTATCCTGCACCCAAACTGTTAAGTGCCTTGTAAATTAATGCAAGTACCTTGAACCTGGCCCCGTAGGCTACGGGAGGGCTGTGCAAGCTTTCAAGCGCCAGGGCTATATACTAGCAACCCCATCAGTGGTTTAGCTGCAGCATTTTGTACCAGCTGGAGGCCCAAGGGTAGCCCCACGCAGAGCATTAAACCTGGCTATAATTTTTTACCCTAGTATCAGAGGCAGTATGGCCCTG